TTTTTTTTTTTTTAAAAAAAAAAAAAAAAAAAAAAAAAATATTTTCATTAAAACACACCAGTATTATTTCAGATACAACGTAAGGCCCATATAAAACCTAAACCGCAAGATGTATCCTGATAATTTTATAATTCCGAAAAGCATTTACGTGTAGGTTAATCTTTCTAAAATGTCACATTAAGCTGGTTTATCGTCGACTGTCAATTGTTACTGTCGTTAATCTACGTCCTGCTAGAAGCGTACGAGTAACAGGACAACGATACAATGTATTAATTACACAAAGGGAGGCAACGTGGGCGAAATTATTAATGCACATTACGACACATAAAATGTATCGTGTGCCCATAATAAATAGTGCACCAAAGAAGAAAGCGAAATGCCAAGTATATAGAACAGCCAACAGAATCAGAGCCAGATTGCGAGGAGCACTGTTAGAGAAATAAGTAAAGACAAATCCATATATACGGATATGTATATAATAAAGAGAGAAAGAGAAAGAGGAGAGAGCAAAGAGAGTTAGAGAGACAACATCGGGATAATTTGAAGAGAAAGGCTCACCGAGAGTTGGCACCGATCCATTCCTAGCTCGAAAGACTAAATCCCGAAAACGAAGATGGCCGACTGTATATAGTGTGTCTTTTATATAAGTCCCGATTGCTTCGGAAGATGGCGCAGGGTAGGTATTTCTCTTTACCTCAATTTTTCGAAAAGGAGTATACCTACCACCTGCACCTTCTTCTTGTCTCGGATATAATCATCTATTTTATACTTGAGGTGGTGAATTCTGCCACCTTCGTCCTACCTTCCGCCCCCACCCCCCCCCACCTCTCATCCAAATCAACTCCAATGCTTTTCCTCAGACTCCCACCTTTTCCACTTCCCATTTTCACCCCTCAATCCCCTCGTGTTTCACGATCGACACGCTCTCGCATGCGCTCTTCGCGCTCAACAACGAAATGCCTCGCTGCAGGCTCGTCCTGAAATTTTACCCCATTTTCAACGGCAGGAACGACTATCCCCCTTCTCCCTTCTCCCTCCTCGTTATGCTGACACGTTCCCTTTTTTCTTGATACCCCCCGGGGGGGAGGGGGGGGGGTGTATTTTTTTCTCGTTTTCCCTTTTCTGTATCTCTGCTGTTTTTTATATTTATGGAAATTTCTTGCGTATAATTTTAACTACTTGTCTGGTATCCCCAAGATTCGAGGGTAAACCTACCTCACGAAATACCCGTACGGATTGAATACGATAAATAAATAAAAAAAAAGGTTTTGATAGTCAACCCTTCGATTATAAAAATTGTACGTACGCTGTGCATAACGAAAAAAATATTCATAAGGACATATTAATACATGGGAGTGAAGGGGAAAAAACGAAAAGTGGGTGATATATATAGCAGGGTAATTAAAGTGGACGCTTTACGTGTTGATCTCTATCGGTCGACCAACAAGCCCATTAATTGATGGGGGATATTTCTCGACGTGATCAAGGGTGCGTAATAGGCTTCGGTAAGTTAAAATAAGGGGATGGAAGGAGCAACAAAAAAATGGAAAAAGAAAGCGAATGTACTTCTCAACAATTTTTATCATCGACCGCGAATTAGTAATAGGTATTTGACCGAGACAGGGGGTGAGCTCATCCCCAGATTAGGGTTGATGGGGTGAATTAAAAGTTATCGAAAGCTTTTCAGCATCCGCTCAAACCTCTTTAGGCTGCTTCGGAAAGTTTACAAATATGAAAGACTCTTAATTCCGGGGATTCAGAGCTCGAGGTACTGTATAGAAGGTAGAAAGAGGGTTGAAAAGCCTGCTGTGGCGTTAAGGTTAGCCGAGTATATGAAAAGATTTTGAAAAAAGTTTGTAATAAGAATTTTCCGAACAAAAAAAAACAAAGCGTCGTAGACTTTAACTGCTTTGTTGATTTAATATTAAATCGCTGTCGCTTCTTTTTTTTTTCATTCCTTACATTTCTTATATCGTTCAACCACATACACGTTAGGAGAGACTATTCTAAGTAAATACGATGACATTGACACCCCTCGTATGTCGGGGGTTGCGCCTATCTGGGACGTCGACTTCATGAAAATATAGAGAGGAGAGTAAGTTGTAATTTTTAGCAAAAATAATCGAGGAGTAACCCGGCTCTACAAATTCTGACGATTTTAATCCTGAGAGTCGTTTTTCAGTTACTTTTACTCCGCTTTTAGCTGATTTTATACTTTTCCTTGAAAACGTGTACTGTTTTTGTCCTGCAGACATTACACTGTACTGTTTTTGTCCGAATCGTGGTTTTCTTATTAGTTTTTATCCGCTTCATTCATGAATTAATATTCTAACGAGGTAGGACGAACTCAGCTTAAAATTTGAACAATAAAAAATTTTTTTAATATACTGATTACTATGTAAATTATATTTTTGCGTAAGTGCCAGATACTATTTTCCATAATGAAAAAAATTTTTTATTTATACATATATTTCATTCATCAATTCAATTAATTTCAAATTCATTTAGTATCATTAAATTATTATTATTTATTATTTATATTTATCTGTATTATCGAAAGAAAGTCTGATTTCGTTTGTACGGCGGTATAATCAGACTGTAAAAAAGTCTACTTCTCTACTACTCGTTGAAAATTTCGGAGAAAAACAGAAACACTATAGGACAAACTTAACAATTTTAATGAAGCACAAGAAAGACAGAATAAAAATAAATTTTATGGATGAAGCAAACTGTGATTAAGCACAAAGCATCGTTTTTGACGCATAGAAAATATTAATCGTTAAAAAACTCCTGGTTAGTTTTCACTTTCCCATTCAATCCCATTTAATATAATCCAATAAGAAATCAAAAAATTCATCTTACGTATTGCCAGGAGGAATTTTACAGTGTACAAAAAGAAACCCTTCTAAATCCACTCATGAATATAGGTATCTGAAGGTTATATAGGTGAAATCGACATTCGATAGAGATTTCCAATAAAATTTCCATTTTCAAAATGTTTTCCATCCATCCTCGAAAGGCCACGGAACCCTTAGGAAAATCGAATCTCGATAAATATCTTGCGCAATCCGAAGTATCCGAAAAGAAACCGAGGGAGGGTCGTGCGAAGGCTTTCGATAAAAAAATTTCTATTAAAAAAATGACAAAGAAATTTGAAAAAAAAAAAAAGTAATATTCACAAAGTACTGAATTTGAATACAATCGATATCATGTAAAAATTGACGTATGACCTACCCGATGGTAATTTTCAAAATGACACCTATATCTATATATGGCATAAAAATCAGGCCAAAGAAACAATAAAAGGGAACGTGAAGGCAAAACGGTAACTCGCATAGGTCATATCATATGTCAGTTACGCTGTCTTAATTAAACTTCTAATTAATAATAGAGATCGAGGTCAGAGCATAGGACAATTTAATCGAATCGAACGAAGCTTCCTATAAATTTATATATAGTTTACCACGTGACTCGTGACGCTTGTTAGGTAAAACGTGTTAAGAAACTCTTGGCACGACACCTACTGTGCAAACAATAATAATGTTGTTTAATTCGTGATTATTTATAATCGCAATTCGGCCTTGTTTTAAGCTGCCCGGTAAAACGACACGAGTCTCCCCGTAAGTAGCCCTACAAAGGCTATGAACTTATATATCGGATAACGAAGAATTACGAGGCTTAAAAATTAATTCTCTTTTTTAATATTGTGCAACATTAAAATAATCATAATGACAACAAAGCGTTTTATTAAACGTAGAAGTGTTTGTCGTTCGAATATACACATACTCTGGATTTTAATCATTCGTATCTATGTATAGAAGGAAGAAAAAAAAAAGGGGTTCGTTCAAAGGACGGGCGTCGCGACGCTACCGCAGCTGGCCCAGCTCGCTAATCCGGATTAAAGACCGATTTAAATGCTGACACAATTAAATCGAGATTAGGCTTAGATTACAGTGAACGTCCTCGTGAACTACGGGGTCTCGCTGTTGACGTGTCAAAATCATTGTTCTTCTTTGATTAAGTTTTTTTATTTTCGCATGAGTCATGAATTTGAGTTTTCTTTGCGCTTCTTTGTATAGGACAGGGCATCGAGACAAAGAAAAATTAACCAGGGCGAACGGCGGCATTGAAACTCTTTCAACAAATAAATTTCGATCTTTTTTTAGTCAAATTTTTTTCGAGTTCGATTTATTATTTACTTTTGTACCTACCGTTGGGCACTGTTGGAGGTTTTTTCGTCTGCACCCTCGCTGTTGCGTTGTTCACCTGTCGAGTTAAGAATTTCATATTAATACAATGGAAATATTTCTTGCAACTTTTATATTTGGATTGGCACATGTTCCTTTATCACAAAGAAAAAGAATTCTTTTGCCTAAAAATCATTCTATCATTTAATAAATTTCGAATTAATTTTTGAGTAACGAGCTTGCTTTGTAATTTTTTTAAAACATAAGATATTTTTGAGTCATAAAAGTAATTCATATTTTTGATCCAAAAATTTTATAACAAACGATTTTAAATCTGTTCTCATTTCGCAAATTCTAATTGACCATGTGCCAATCCTATTATCGGATACCTACGTATCATTTCACGTGCAATCACAACCAGCTGCCATAACGACCGGTACACGCTTTGCAAAGAGCAATTCGTCATCGCGTAAGTCACTAATACAAATGGCAGCGGTACGACAGGTAAAACAAAGCGGAATTTGTGATTGCACGTATACCGGACGTATACGTCACTTTTCCTATAGATATACATATAGATATATATATCTAAGCTAAAGAAAAGTCTACCAATCGAATCGTTCGCCGTACACCGAATAACTAAATTTCGCAAATATAAAAAGTTGGAAATTTATCAATCAATGGATTATGACATCAGCCGGTTGAATTAGTTCAATAGCAGTAAAATTCGCGACCCGAAAGAAATAAATAAAAAAAAGACTCGGCGTTAGGTATTAATGGGATTTTATCGATTTCCAATATAAACAAAAAAAGAGAGAAAATTAAAATAAAAAGATTCTGAAGGAAATAACAGTGAAAAAATTCTAATTCAAGAGTACCGCGCTTGTTCGAACCTATGACAATCCTTTTTATCCGTTTTACTTGACTGTTGCAACATTTCATTCGGTGTACGTCGATACGAAATTTTTTACGAATTCAAACACCCCGGTCTTTCCTAGCATCCCGAGCGTCGTTCGTCGTCGAGAAACGACGGTCTGAATCACATCGTTCAAAGATTCAACGAGCGAGAGGTCCTTCCGGTATACGATACGAGTCTTCGATTTCCAGTATTCGGTATTTTGTCATATAAGTTTAGAAATTCTTTGAAATTATAACAAAAGTTCACAATTTCTACAAAGTCGTCAACAAATTCTCCAGCAGTCAAGTTAACACGTTAACAAAATTACGATGGAAGGTAACAATGTGAAAATCAAAATTTTTTTGTAAATTGAACAGAAAACTCGAAAACTCGCATCTCTGCGGAAAACATAACTTCTCGAAGAAACGCATTCTATCGCATTTCATTCTAACGCATTTCTCTTATATTTCCCGCCGATATACGTGCAACACACTACTATGATTATGATAATAAAAATTCAATTCTCTTCCATTTTTTCCTCACAAAAAATGACTATGACGTCAAGAATGTAACCAAGTCCATACGTTATCGAGGGCGAGGTTGAACCCACATTCATTTTGTCATCCCTGATAATTTTTTTCACCCTTCTTCGAGAAGGGAGAAAACAAAACCATCCCTTTCATGGTAATTCGGAAACAAAACCTATCGGTTAACCTTGAATTTCGACTCACGAAAAATAACGAATTGACCCGAATGGTCATCTTTTTTTTTATCAAAGATATTAATTTACTTGCGATCCAGCCGCAGAGTGGCTCCGTATCGCGACGCCTGCGAATTAACGAGAATGCGTTTCGTCGAGAGGTAAATACGAATATGTCCTGTGAGAAAATTTCCCTAACCGATTTCTGTGTACGTAGAGCGACTGCAGCGCCATTATTGGCATAACTTCGCGTCTTTTAGTTACAGGTATCTATGACTGATCCTATGCCGTATACCTGAATATTTAAAATAGCGGCAAATTTGAATTTTCATTGACGCATTAAAGATTCTGATAGCGAACTTTCAAAACGTGAAAATAATTAAATTTGAGATTACCTCGTTTTTTTTTTTTTCACTTTCGGTTTTATGCTTTGAGAACGCAGTATTTTCGCATCAACTTTGCATCGTTCTTGTATAGATATATTTTTTTATAGAATTAAATTTTATCATTCCATTCTCTATTCTCACGGTCACCGATCGCTACGTTCAATTGCCGAGCTGCACGGGATGGCCTTGTTACCAAATCTCCCTTCCACCCTATAACACCCTGAAGCAATTTGCATTTTACATTGGGCATCTTCAAGGGGCAGCAACCGAAAATTTATTGGTACAACCCAACTGAAATTATGGCAAAAGCCATTTCCAATTTCATTGGCGAATCTTGGTACTACGATTGTGAATGGGTCGCTGGCAATTGAGTACAAGACTCAGGAAGACTGACTCTGCTTTTCATGAGAGCAGACGGGCGCATTTTCATATTTAAAAAAAAAAAAGACTAAAATGAGATTGCAAGCTTAGTCCGAATATAATATTGCTGATTTTTAAATAAATCGAGCAAAAAATGAGTCAAACCGACTAATCAGCACGAGAATAAAGTGCTGACAGACTTCCAAGAGTTTTCGTTAAAAACAACCGAATCGCGACCTATAAATTTTTTTACCGAAGAAGAAAAATACACTCAAGCGAGAATTTTAAGCTTAGTGCTACGAATGAGATTTTCCTTGAATTTAATAATTTTCTTTTTTCGACAACGCTAAAAATATCTACCTCTTATAATCTATAAAAATATATTCATCTTCGTTTCTTTTTTCTGTTCGCTAAAAAACCCTTTATAAGTCCATTAATAAAATTGATTAAATTCAAAACTCCCGGGATTCCTTTCATCTCGCTTCACCGTCCCTCTCAACCGTCCCCCAGTCCACCCACCAATTACTCTTGCATTCCAAAGGCACCTTAAGGCGCAAAACGCGATAAAACTTTTCACCCCGACAGCTGTCAAGGGTGCGTCCACAGAGTAAGAGAGACGCTCCAAGCGATTTTCATCCCCATCTAGTAATTACACGCATCGTTACGCAAGCGTTTCGCAAAATTGAAATTACGAATGTGCGAAAAAAAATTAGACGACAATAAAAACCCGAAAAATAAATACAAAAAAAAAAAGTGCAGCAACGGTATCTCGCAGATGCAATTAAAAACGATGAAAATAAAGAGAACAAGAAAAAATGATAAAAGAACAATCCCAGGAATGCAGGTCACCCTGTCACGTCTAATGACCTACGATCCCCGCGTTTGTACCGCGTTGCATATTTTTTCGCGTAAAAAGTAAAAAATTGCAAAGTCCTTAGCAGGTAGGTTATAAGGCAAAAAAACTATTCACGATGGCAGACTCAATCAATACGTAGCATGGTAACCCTCGTCCATTCTCGTTGTCATCCCGGGGATGAATAAGTGAACTGAATTTTGCAAATTTCTTGCAACCTTGCCACCCGTTGTATATCTTGGCCGCTTTCTTTTAACCGTACCCACCCTTCCAACTGTTCCGACTACCCCCCCCCCCCCCCCCCCC